CCAAGAATAAGAGTCACAGTCAAGTCTATAAATAGGCAACGTATTCAGACAGCATCTAAAAGCTGTTGCTGAGGCAATGGATAATCAGAGGTCGCAATGCAACGACCAATGAGTTAAGCGAATGCGAAGAACAGAACCGATGCTCTCATGCTATCAACGGTTTAAGTTATATTACTTCCAAGATGGCAAGAAGGGGTTTATTAACAATCCTCATTGCAGAATCAAAACCGCCATAGCAAGAGGAAAACAAGTTGCAAATTCCAATCAAACTCCCAGGACGATCAAGAACACACAAGGCGCAAAAATCCACAACTGAGAATAGAAACAGATCGATTCAAGCAATTCGCTCAATCCTTTCACATAAACACAACAGAGCAATTTAACCAAAAACCAAAACGAATTTCAGTTACCTGCGATTCCTTCTCTTCCGAGATGAGCCGCAAACCATTCTGATTCAACCGCAAATCACCGTCGTGAAACGTACCGCTTGCTGTGCTGATAAAAGTTCAAGTCGCGGCATCAATCAAGACTTAAATCAATCACTCTAAGCAGTAATGCTCAGGAAAGCTAAACCACAACTAGATTCCTCACAGTTCAGACTCTCTAGTTCGGCAAACTCAAGCAGACGGCGAATTGAATAACAGTGAAATTGAATTAGGAGGAATGCGCGCAGCTTACAGGAAAGACGAGATCGGAGTCTCCTGAGCCGGGACAGAGAGCTTCAGCTGCTGCAATGGATTCTTGATTTTCATGATCTTTCGCTTTCTTCTGCTGGAAGATTCGAACGTACTACTGCCTTCGCTGTCTAGGGTTTCTTACAGAGAGAATGTAAGACAGTGAGAGAGAGACTCCTTATCGTTTTCTGGAAAAAAGACGAAAGCAGGAAATGATTTATTTTTAACGTCAATTTTTTTTTTTCAAACCAGAAAGACCGCGCATTTAAAATTTTCAAAATTAATAATATTTTTTTAACGCTTAGACGTAGAGCCTGGATATCCTTGCTTTCGGGCTTCACAACTGGGCTTTTAGCTGGGCCTGTTCAGAAGACTATATCACTTCCTGAATTGGGATTGTACGGGCCGAAGTCCGACTGTTTTGTTTCATTTGTCAATTTCTCATGGGCCCATGGATCGGGCCGGGCAAAACTGGTCGGACTTCGGTTTCGCTTACTGAGTCGGTGCAGCAGGGATAAAGCGGGGAGGAACGAAACCAAAGCAACAGACATCCTAATTCTCGAATTGTGAAAAACGATTCTTTTAATTCGGAAAAAGAAGGTAGAACCCTTGTTCTCTGGGCACTCTGACATAAACACTGACCCATTACCACACTCTACTCTCCACTATTGCTCTGTGCTGCTTGCTTCCCCATCCTTCTCTCGAGCTCCGAGAGAGAGTCAGCAGAAGGCCTTTTTCGCATATACCAATATAGCAAGAAAGAAAGAGAAAGAGCGAGAAATAGAGACGTTAGTCTGTGTCTCCTCCTCCACAGTACGATTCCCTTTGGAACCCATAATAAGAGCCTTGGGGAGTGAGTTGCTGGGCGCGCTTACAATTGAGATAGAGAGAAAGAAGCACAGAGAAAGCAGCAGAGACAGAGTGAGGATAGAAGAAGCGGTGATGGGGAGGAAGGGAGGAGGAGGAGAAGAAGGATTGAAGCTAGTTTTGGCCTTCACTCTGCTGTTTGCACTTCCGGGTATGCTCTCTTTTCTCTTCCATTTCCAATGTCGGTGTGGGGTTTTTTTTTCCTTTCTTGTTCAACTATTACTTGCTGAAATGGGTTCTCCCGGAATCGATTTCTTTACTTGGAAAAACACCCATTTTGATTCTGTTTATACCTTTCCTTTTCCACTAGTTTTCCCTCACTTTCCCCTGTCCTTTTGTCTTTCAGTCGAACTGTTTTCTGGTTTGCAAAACCCAGGTCCTGTTTTTGATGAGCATCTAATCTAATGGCCCTAGTAACCCCCTGCATTTACTAGCTTCTGATTTTATGTGTGATTTTGGAATACTCCAGAGTCGATACTTCCCTTTTTCTTTTCATTTGATAGGTTTGTGGACAGCTGGGATGCAGTGTTGAGAAATGTGGACCAGTCTCTAGAATTTTGTTTCCTACTTGTGAACTTGTTTATTCAATTTGACCACTGCTTTGACAGCCTAATAATGCCCCCATTACAGTGGCTTGAGCCCACCTCTGATTTTGTCTCTACTCTTGAAATGTTGGCTGTTAGACTATAGACTAATAAATCTGGAAAAAATTTGTTGTCACCTTTGTGGTAATATGGGAAGCCTTCTTCTTTCCTGGCATCATTACCTCTCTCAAGCTTGAAGCAAACTTTTGTTATCTGTTTCATCATTGTCTTGTGAGATCAACATGGTTGTACATTTCTCTTCAATGCATTTAAGTATTGCTGAGGCCTGAGGGTAGTTGTTGTGAGTCAACATCAAGTGAACTTGAGTCACGTAATTGCTTTTGTAAGGAAAGAAACTTTCCAGTGGGGGCGACCCTTTATTCGACTGTGTACTCTGGAAGTTGGGCTCATCCAAATTTCCATTTGCAGTTCTGTGCAGAGGAAGCATAGTTGGAGTTTGTTATGGAAGGAATGCCGACGACCTCCCAACACCTGATAAAGCCGTGGACCTCATTCAGCAGCATAACATCAAATACGCGAGGATATACGATGCGAACATCCAAGTTCTCAAGGCATTCGCCAACACTGGGATCGAGCTCATGATCGGTATATCAAACTCGGACTTGCTCCCCTTCTCCCAGTTTCAATCCAATGCCGACACATGGCTCAAGAACAACATCCTCCCTTACTACCCTGCCACAAAGATCACCTATATCACAGTTGGTGCTGAAGTCACTGAAGCACCAAACAATGAGTCAGCTCTTGTTGTACCCGCCATGCACAATATCCTCACTTCGCTAAAAAAGCTCGGCTTGCACAAGAAGATTAAGGTCTCGACCACACATTCCCTCGGCGTCTTGTCTCGCTCTTTCCCACCTTCAGCTGGTGCCTTCAGCAGCAAGCATGCGCTCTTCCTCAAACCTTTACTGGAGTTCCTCGCCGAGAACCAATCCCCTTTCATGATTGACATCTACCCTTACTACGCATACAGAGATTCTCCAAGCAATGTGTCGTTGGATTATGCTTTGTTCCAATCCTCCTCCGAAGTAATCGACCCGAACACTGGCTTGCTCTACACCAACATGTTCGATGCTCAAATAGATGCTCTCTATTTTGCACTGATGGCTCTCAACTTCAGAACGATCAAGGTTATGGTGACTGAGACAGGGTGGCCATCAAAAGGTTCGCCTAAGGAGACTGCTGCAACTCCTGATAACGCGCAAATCTATAATGCCAACTTGATCCGCCACGTGATCAATGACACAGGGACTCCTGCCAAGCCAGGGGAGGATGTAGATGTGTACATCTTCTCGCTGTTCAACGAGAACAGGAAGCCTGGGTTGGAGTCGGAGAGGAACTGGGGTCTGTTCTATCCTGATCAGACGAGCGTTTACAATCTGGATTTTAGTGGCAGAGGTGCTGTGGTAGGCATGCCAACACCGAACTCGAATGGGACTGCTGGTGGTTTCAATGGGACTACTAAGACGTGGTGCATTGCTTCCAGTAATGCGACGCAGCTTGATTTGCAGAATGCGGTTGACTGGGCATGTAGTACTGGGAATGTGGATTGCTCGCCTATTCAGCCGAGTCAGCCTTGTTTCCAGCCGGATAATCTGGCTTCTCATGCTTCTTATGCATTCAATGCTTACTACCAGCAGAATGGAGCAACTGATATCGCTTGCACTTTTGGTGGCACTGGAGTTAGAGTTGACAAGGATCCAAGTAATGCCCTCTTTCCGAGTGTCCAAACTTTACTTCATCGATCTCTTTGTTTGGGTTCTGATGCTATGCATTTTCTAAACTGTAAACTGGTCTACTTTGCTTTGCAGGCTATGATAACTGCTTGTATATGACAGCGGGGTAAGTTACTTGCAGCCAAAGCTCTTTCTTTCTAGTCTTTTCCCTGCCAGCCATATTGTATTGCTTTTATTATAGCTAAATACATGGTGTTGCTTTTGTTGTTACCAATCAGGACCAACAAGACGGGAGCAAGTAATATAACAGCAATGACATCCTCGTCGTCTAAGACTTCATCCTCGTCACAGAATCTGGCAGGGAAGTGGGCCTACAGCTTGATTCTAGCAACTCTTCTTCGCCTTCTGTGTTGACGAATGGTAATTGCGTAAGCAGGGTAGGAGTCTGGAAATGAAGAGATTTTTGTTTCTGTTTTGGGACCATGGAAGGAAGAGACAGGTAGCCCTGCAATTGTAAAGCTCTACTGGTTCGACGGCCCCATGGTGTTGTATGATATGATGCCAATGTATTGATTGGTGTTAGGGTTGTTAGTGTTAGGAGGGAGGATGGTAAGGAAAGACAAATCCATCTGCTGTACTTGCTAGTCTTGAGTATAGATGATGTTCCTCCCCCAGCTCTGTCTGGCTTTGGTTTAAGATCGTCAGTGTTCATCTATGCGAGTCATTTAAACTGCGCGCTGAACAAAATTTGTAAACGATCGTTTGAACTACTATAAAAATTGAATCGGTTTTCGGACAAAAATGCCAACTTTATATCAGTAGAATGTAGACTAGAGAACTGTCTTATGACTTTGCAGAGGGGTTTCCAGTACCATCATACTAACATATCTTCTGATAAGGTTGCCAACAGAAAGCTCGAGCTTATGATACCGCGTACTTTATGAACGCTTCAGAGAGAACTGAGTATACATCTACATATGACTCAGTCTAGAGCTACCAAATCTCTATGAATAACCACTGAAATAGGTTACGGTTACTTCATTAAAATGCGGAGAATGGCGTGCCTGATAGTGAGCTTCGTAGTTATCATGTTAAGTCTCCAAACCAGGAATCACCTAAAAATAAACTCTGCTGATTCAATGCATATATAAACAGAAATAACGCCAACCAACAGTACTTCATATCTTCTTCACACCCAGAAAGCATTCCTATTCTTACCATATAGATACCAAACAAACAAGAAACGCAAAAGAATGCAGCCATAATGAAGCAATACTTAGTGACAACCAAAAACCAATCCCGTCGATTCGATTAACAAACCCCAAAATGTAATTTAGACAATCATCATGATAATACCATCATCAAAATAGTACAAAGGAAGAGACTCAAATCCATCAAGATCCAAAACAACCATCAATCAAACTCCCATCTTTCTTTTTTTTCCTTTTCACACAGTGTTCCCCTTGACCTTAAGCTACTAAATAATGTCGGACAGAGGCAAGGTTTTGTATTAGATGCCAGGAGGACAGGGATAAATAACAAAGATAAGAAAAAACGAGGTGATTAAAGACCCTGATCGGCGAGATAGTCCCCGAGCCTTTCCACTATCACGTTGCACTGCCCGGGAGTCATTGGCTCGTCATAGATGCCGATGACCAATGCCTGACCCGTCTTCTTAATGGTAACACCACCAGATCCCTGAACGTTTCAGCAAAAGCAAAGGTTTAGGCAGAATGAATTAGATGAAATGAACTTTCAAATGTATGAAGCAATGTACAACCGCTGGGCAACTGGATGCTAAACCATGGTACAAAGAACGTCATAGGCTAAGAACACTAGACTCAAACAGACTAGAATGTTGTCAACTATCATAAAAGAAAAGAAGGCGTGGGTTCTGATGGAGTAAAGAGTATCAAGACTTCCAGAGTTGTGAGTCAATGAGCTCAACATGGACCACCAGAAGAAAACCCATGAAATCATTTGCCAATTTTAGAAGATTCTCCTACTAAACTAATGAAGGTGCAAAACAGAAAGCTACACAGAGTTCATTCATCCTCACCTTCTTTCCTCGAATGACAGCTCCAGCCTCACCCTGAATCACCATGTACTTTGAGCCTCCAAGATACAACCCAGTGGGTGCAAGAAAACCAGGCTCATCGAAATCCTTCATGATGCCAGTAATTTCTTCAGGCTTGAACTGAAACAAAAACATCACAAACAGATCAGCAATAAGCACCTTCGATCCAGCAGCACCACAAGTAGCAGAGCTCTCCTCTAGTCAACGAATGAACCCCTGATCAGTTCATCTTCACTTTCAATTCAGCATCACAGAAAGATAACTATTAAACCTCCATCACAGGAAAAGAAACCCAAATCAAATCTCACCACAACCAGTTAATCGAAAACCCCCACGCCCAAACCAAGGGAGATCAGATCCTCAAGCTAAATACCCAGATCGTAAAAAGCAGCTCAAAAGCTATAAATTTGAAGTGAACCCAATTCAAACGAAGCACAGGTCAAGCAGGATCCACATCTTTCTCGGCCACATCCAATCCATCAACCGGTCAAAACCCACACAAACCCTCGGCAAACAGATGCTAAGAACAGCAGTATAATCCCAAATCCACAGGAATCACACTTGTGGGAATCATAAGGAGGGAAGCAAAGAGAAAGAAGGAGACAACAACCTGAGGGAAGGTAGCGCTCTGAGCCCAAACGCTGCCGTCGTGGCCGATGATGGCTGCAGCAGAGAGGTGATTGCCTTCGATTTCGCACATGAGGTGGTCATCGACGTAAGTCTGCCACGACATCTTGGCGAGCTGCTTGGCTGAGAACTAGGAAGGAAGGTTTGCGGACTGGTTGAGAGCTGAAAGGAAGGGGCGTGGTTTGTGGAGCAGCTGAAGGTGGGCGTTTGGCCTTAAGAAGAAAGAGGAAGATTAGGGGTTGGTTTCTGTGTATTTTCTTATCTGTGAAGACAGCAGAGACTGGGCGCACATATTGCGTTGAATCGACGGGACCCTTTATATATTATTCGAGCCATCTCCTCTCTTTTTTCTTTTCCTTTTTTTTTTGTGGTAATTTGTATTTATTCGAATTTCGTAATATTCAGCAAATATGCTTCTGAATTCTGATAATAAATAGAGGGGGAAAACTGAATTTTTTTTTTTGGTGAAAGCCGGAGCGCTAACGGGCGCTCCTAGCCGATATTATTAATCAAACGGGGTGTTTGGATCCCCAACAAGAAAGCCAATAGTTCAGAGAGGCGTTTGGGTGGTTCAAAACATGCAAACCAACACCTCGACTATGACCTAAAGAAGCAAGAAAGTCGGCAACAACATTACCCTCTCTATACACATGGATTATCTCCACCTGCCAGTCTCGAGCAAGGAGGCGCCGCGCAGCCGCGATTAAACAGTGATGGGGATTACTAGAATTCGCCTCCTGCAGAAGTTGCATAGCAATCTTTGAGTCCGTCTGGACTTGGACCTTCTTCAAACCCATATCCCAAGCGATTTGGAGCCCGTGGGTGATACCTGCGATCTCAGCCTTAGTAATGGATCCTCCTCCAAGGTTCATCGTGAACGCTCGAAGTAGCCGCCCATCTTCATCACGAATGACTCCACCTGCTGCTGTACTCTCCGGCGTTTGGATCACAGAGCCATCGGTATTAAGGCTCGCCCATCCTCGCGGCGGTGGCTGCCAGCTGATCATGTGTTGGCTGCTGCCCCTCCCACTGTCGAAAAGCTTCGCCTCCTTACTAAGAGTTGCCTCTACCTGGGCAATGAAACGAGCATTTAAGGCCTGCAGTTGTTGGGGGGAGCTCAGCTTTTCCTCAAAGACCTTGGAATTTCGGTTGCGCCATAACGACCAGCAACCAATGGCAAACCTCGTAGCTCCGACAGTCGAGCTTCTGTCCTTCAGGTAGTGCAGCATCCACCGGTGGCCGTCCTGCTGGAAGAAGGTGTCATCCTGTTCGTCTTGAAGGATTTCCGCCCAGTAGGCCCTGGCAAAGGAGCAGTCCCGGATCACGTGCATGGTGGTCTCCGGCCCGCCTTCGCATATTGGACACGTAGCCGAGTCGGTGAGATGCCTTCGTCGCCTCTCATCATTGGTGAACAGCCGGCCATGACCTGCAAGCCAAAAAAACGACCGGATTCTTTGGGGAACGGGGGCTCTCCAAATCGTGCGCCATAGGGGGTGGCCGTGCTGAGCCGGCTCATCCTCGTCGGTTAGCTCGTACGCCGTCTTCACGGAAAAAACGCATGAGGGGGTCAGTCGCCATAGCGGGACATCCGGTTGCCGTTCATGGGGAACCGGATGCAACTGGACCTGCAAAACAACTTCTGGTGGTAAAAAGTTAGCAATGTAGGGGATGTTCCACTCTCCATTCAGCACCACTTCGACCACCGTCAGCTCCCGATCACCCGGGGAGAGGTCATGAGCAAAATCCGCTAATGTGGGCCCATCCTGTAGCCAACGATCTACCCAGAACTTGGTCGATCGTCCATCCCGAATGTTCCAAATTGTAGCTTGGGGAAGGAGATGCAGGACCCGGAGAACTCCCCTCCACAGGTTGGATACAGGCCCCGATGTTCTCGCCACCCAGCCGTCTTGCGTTCGTTTAAGGTATTTTGCTCGAATGACCTTGGCCCACAGACTCTCACTCTCTGTCCAGAGGCGCCATGCTACCTTCAACATGAAGGCCTCGTTCATTCGGGTAGCTGTACGCAGCCCCAAACCTCCTTCCTCTTTTGGCCTGCACAGTGTTTCCCAGTCAAGGAGGTGCACCTTCCGATCGGTTCCTGAGCTGCCCCATATAAAGCCACGGATCTTGCGGTCAATATATTCGCGCACACATGCAGGCAAGAACGCCGTTTGCATCGTATAGGCAGGTAGGGAGGCCAGAACTGACTGCGCTAACGTTATCCGTCCAGCTAGTGACAGAGACTTTACCTTCCACCCAGCAAGCCTGGCGTCGATCCGATCAATCAAGCAGATGTATGTGTTTTTGGATACCCGGTCATGGATAACCGGGACACCCAAATACCTTCCCAAGTTCTTAGTCTCAGGGATGTCAAGAGCCGTACTTACAGCTGCACTAGTCGAGCTTAAGACATTACTCGAGAAAAAAACACGTGACTTTTGTCGGCTGACTTGTTGTCCGGAGGCCAGCCCGAACTCTGCGAGGCAGTTGTTTATTACGGCAGCCTGCGCAAGTGAAGCTTCCCCAAAGAGAATTAGGTCATCCGCAAAGAAAGAGTGGGATAAGCTTGGACCTCCCTGTGATAGCTGTATCGGCTTCCACTCTCCAGCTGCAACCGATCCCTTGATAATATGGCCAAGGTGCTCCATGCAGAGAGTAAATAAATAGGGAGAAAGCGGACGCCCTTGCCTCAATCCTCTCGATGGTGTGAAAGCCTCCGTGAGACCCCCATTCCATTGAATAGTCATTGTCGATGTAGAAATGCAAAACATAACTAATTCAATGAAATCATTTGGCGCACCCGTAGCCTGTAGAGTCTCCTTAACAAAGCTCCACTTAAGTCGGTCATAGGCCTTAGCTAAATCTATCTTGATAGCCATCCAACCCTTCCTTCCCTTCTTATAGCGCATGGAATGGACCACTTCTTGCAATATGCAGATATTATCTGTGATATGCCTGTGCGGGACGAAACTAGTCTGGGTCTCATCCACTAGTTTTGGCATTAGCGGCTTAAGCCTCTCCGCCAAACTCTTAGTGATTATCTTGTACGTGACGTTGCACAGGCTAATGGGCCAAAACTGCTCGATGCGGGTGGGCGACGGTACTTTGGGGATTAAGACAAGCACAGTAGCATTGATGGAAGCAATGGCCTGCGGAACCAACCAACATTTCTTCGCAAACTCCACCATTGAGGGCCCCGTGAGCTCCCAGAACTTCTGGTAGAAAATCGGACTGAGTCCGTCCTTGCCTGGGGCTTTGAGTGGCGCCATTAACTTGACTGAGCTGAGGATCTCTTCCTCCGTAAAGGGTATCCCAACCGCATTCCACAACTCATCAGCAACGTCCGGGAAGAGCCCCCGAAGCGGGGAGGTAGGCAGACCATCATCCTCATAAAGGGCCTCAAAAAAAATTCGAGCCATGTCCCGAAGCGCCTCCTGATCCTCTACCCAGTCACCTTGAGCATTTTTTAGCATTGCTACCCTGTTGCCTTTCCGACGTTTGATCGTACGTGAATGGAAGTATTTAGTGTTGCAGTCACCCGACGCTATCCATTCCAATCTCGATTTTTGGCACCAAAGAACTTCCTCTTATACTAGCACTGAGTAAAGTTCTGACCGGAGTGAGGTTAGTTGGGCAGTATCGGAATCTCCCCCATGCTGCATTTCCAGCTGCTCAATCCGCTTCAGAAGCTCATCTTTCCTTCTCGTAATGTGGCCAAAGACCTCCCAGTTCCACCGTTTGGCATCCGCAACAAAGGAATTAATTGAGCTCTGTAGATCATGGCCTTTGTTCCACCCTGCAGTGGCCATATCCGCGAAGCCTTCATGGAGCAGCCAAGCAGCAATGAAACGAAAAGGTTTGGGCCTCCCGGACGGAACTGCGGAGCTAATCTGGTAAGGAGCGGCCGATGATCCGATTTAATCTTGGTGAGGTGGTGGACGGCCGTATCCGGGAAAGTAGAAGCCCAAAGGTGGTTGGTGAGACTTCTGTCAAGTCGTTGCTTAATTCCCGTAGAGCGAAACCAAGTGAATGGCGGCCCCTCGTACCCCAGGTCAAGCAAACCTGTATCCAGGATACAATCCTGAAAGTCCCTGATCCGACTAGCCTCAAAAGGTGCCCCTCCCGATTTCTCCGAGGCATGTAAAATTGAATTGAAGTCACCTGTCAAAAGCCAAGGCAAAGTGGTGTCAGCCGCAATATCACGTAGTGAGGACCAAAGGTCTCGCCTCTGAATAAGAGCTGGGTTCCCATATACAGCCGTGAGTAGCCAAGTGAGACCCCCCGTTTGGACCACAGTATGGAGAAGCTGTACGGTTTTTAAATTTCCTCATTTTTTTACCATTGGATCAATGGTTTCGTTGTTGGAGGATATATGATTTTTGGCATCTAATGGAGCTTGTGTTAACGAATTAAGATGGTTCAAAAGCGAACCAAATACATTCACCAGAACGTTTCATAGATGGTACGTAAATGTGTGTCTATTGAAAACGAAGTCTACTAACTCATACTCCCTTAGGACTTCAATGAAATTTGTCGCAAGATTTTCATCTTCCTCCAGTTTTCCCCATACTTGTAGTAATGAGGTTGAAATCCCCCGTACAAACTCAGGGTAAATTGCTTGTCTTGGAAATTTCCCATGAGTTACAGAGTTAGATAACTATCCTCTCGAAATGGAAGACCATAAATACTAGAGTAACGCGTGGAATGACTCTCTTTACCTCAATAAACTATCACATCAATATTGTAGAATGGACTGTAACATGGACTTCTTTTTCCACATAATGGATAGGCCTCCCCAGGCATACGACATTCTAAGCCATGACTCAATCTTCAAAGAAGTCGAGTTGTCATACCGTCTTTTTCCAATCACCATTCGGTAGTTTCATTTTCATCAAAAAAATATGTGCTTGACTTGTTATTTAATCATTTTATACCGTTCATAAAAAAAACATTTTAAACAGAAATAGAAATGTTCAATAAAAAAAATTATTATACTAACGAAAGAGAAAGGGAAACAATAAACAAGATTTATGTACTGGAAAGTTGTGAAATGATCATTAAAGCGTTAATCTTAGAAAGGGAAACTTCATATGTGCTGTCCATGTCTTAATAATTTTCCCAACATGCATGTTTTTTTCTTTTTTTAAAAAAATATAATTATTTCAAATGTGTACATCATCCTCTATATTTTTACTTTCTACAATTTCCTTGTTAAGATCGGCATCGTAACTAATTACCAAAGGTCAATTATAACTCCTTCTTATAATAAAAAAAAAAGTCAATTATATTTATACCTCCCTCGGCTCGTCCTTTAAAGACACCACAAATACCAATTATTCATTTCAATGGGTTAAGAGGGATGAGAGAGTGGAACCTTGACATAAGGTTGCAACTTATAACTAAGAAGGATTTGATGTTGTTTAATGTTTTTTACTTGAAGAACGTTAGTGATAACTAGATCTCACGTCCTATAACAAATGATTCTTTCATTGTTATTATAATCATATACAATTCTTTTTTAACTCATTAAATTAATGCGTATATTCATATTTAAGTCGGCCAAAAAAATTGGGAATTTTTTGAAATCATTGCCTACAATGACGATCCTCTTCTTTGTGAGGCAGATTTGACTAGATGATCGAACTTCCTACACCCACTAACAACTTAGTGCCTGGAACACAACACATTACTAAACTATCAATTATGTGTTGTTTGCTACTTGAAGGCTGATGGCGATTTATAATTGTGTCGCTCCTGCTACTGATTCGTCGTTGTTCTATTCTCCAAGACTCCAACAAATAAGATGGTGCTACATATTCGTCTAAATTATTTAATCTCGATTTTTGTTGGTAGAAGATATCTCACCAAATGGACTAGACTAATTTAAGACACGATTTCTCATGTAAATGCACTAAACCATTGATATTTTTTTTACAGATGCACTTAATCACATGGCAATATGTAAAGCAAAAAAACATACAATATTAGAGGAAGAAAACATTTATTTTCATATTCACATAATCAATGGGAGAACAATCTTCCAAAGCATAATGGTAATGCACTATACCAATCATAGTTCTTGCTTTATGGAAAGTGCCTGATCTGTGGCCTAAAATTTTGAAACTTTGGTGCCTAATTAATAAAGGAAAAGGAGAGCTTTTCATGGATTTGCATTTCTTAATCAATCACTTTGACAAATAAAAGGCTGGCTGGTTGGAGTTGGTTATTGATTCCTGCCAAGCATAAGCTTCATATCCACAAATTTGAAATTTCTCTCCTTTATCTTTTTCCCCAGTAATAATAATAATAATCAAAGGGAATAGCATAGACGATTTAGACATAAACGTCCATGAAAATAAGTAAATAACAGTAATTAACAATAATCATGAGAGCATATTTGATCAGTCAAGTATTTCAGTTTCGTAATAACAAAACCTAGATGCTTTGGTTACCTTTTCTAACTTTTATTTTAAGGATGACAATTTTGATGTGAGTAGTTGCTAGCTAGGATAATAAAACCTAAATACTTCACTTTTCATTCAGGCATATCAATTTCTAGCTTGAATGGTGATTGATTAGGCAGACCAATCTCGCAATATTTGAATTGTATCATCAGACAAGGTTGAAATATTGCTCGAGGTACGAGTTTGCCAACTCATTTGTACATGTGAAAACAAGAAAAAAAACAACGATCATTTAACTCTGTACGATACTTAATGAAGAAGAGAGAACGACACGACTAACATAAAAGTTAAGAGAAGTCGTAACAACTGAACATGAACAGACACAAGATGAAACTATGATAGAAAAATCCAAAGTCTGAAACAAGATGAAAATCAGATTCAGATCCCTCCTCATCATGCTACTCAAATCGCTTAACGTCTCCACATAATAAATTCGCCAGACCATATCAATAGAGTCGGATTAAATTTGTATGTTATAAATCGATGGACTTCAACTATCTCATCACCAACAAATAGATTTGATCGAAGGTTAGTCAGGATCATCATGTGTGGTTGTTTTGATATCAATAGACAAAGAAAAGTAGAAAACAGAGGATCAAATAAACAAAGAAACAACGGAGATCAGAAAATCAAAAAGGAAAAAACATCCCAAAACTTTCAATCATCCAGATCGCCATAGTCGACCTGGACTACTTTCGTTCTTACAAATGGTTACAGGCAGAAAATGCAAACTTGTAACCAATAACCCAGAAAGGAAAAAAAAAAAAGATTGAAAACAGAAGAAAAATGTAACGAGAAACAGCCAGCACTTTCGTCGTGCCGCTCAGAAATTATATTATGAAGGAGTACTAAGAAAAAGAGGAAATTGAAATTCATAGGTCAAATATGGCGGGTGATGGGGTTTGGCCGGAAGAGGGGGGGAAATCCGCTGGATCTAGAGACCCTGATCGACGAGGTAATCGCCGAGCCTCTCGACCACCATGTTGCACTGCCCCGGAGTCACCGGCTCCTCGTAGATCCCGACCACCAGGGCCTGTCCGGTCTTCTTGATTGTGATCCCGCCGGCGCCCTTCTTGCCGCGGATCACCGCGCCGGGCTCCCCCTGGATGACCATGTACTTGTTCCCGGCGATGTGGAGCCCCGTCGGGGCCAGGTGCCCCGGCTCGTCGAAGTCCTTCATGATGTCGCTCACCTCCGATCCCTTGAACTGCCATATACCAATTTAGGGATTTTGTTATTTTCATCGAGGAGAAAAAAAAATTAGGGATTTTTTTTTTTTTTGGTTCTTAATTGAAACTAGTTACCTGAGGGAAGGCGGAGCTCTGGGCCCAGACGCTGCCGTCGTGGCCGACGATGGCGGCGGAGGCGAGGTGCTGGCCCTGCTGGCCTTCGATCTCGCACATCAGGTGCTCGTCGACGTAAGTCTGCCACGACATTTTCTCGCCGATTTTTTGGTTTGACTCCGGCTCACCGGCGCGTGTGCGCTTTTCCTTCTTCTTCTTTTTTTCCGCGCGTTCGAGAACTTGGACCTTCTGTTTGGCCGGGCTGTTGATCGGAGTGGGTTAATTTTCGGGGGGGAAGGGTTAATTATTTTTTTACCTGGTGGATGATGAGTAAAATTTTGTTTTAATCGAGTTCTGTTTTACGTTTTACCACTTTTTCGAGCTTTCCACCGTGGTTTTGTAGTGGGAGCAATGGAGGGGGAAAAGGTGGAGCGGGCGATGGATGCGGAGGGAAAGGTTTGAATGGGTTTGTGGACCACCTCACGGATTGGATCCGGTCCGGGAAGATGATTGATTGATGGGCTGTGGACCGTCCGTTGTTTTTGCTTGGTTTTGGGGGAAACCTTTCTTTCCGCCTTTTACTGTCATTTTTAACCAAACGAATATTATTTTTTCACGCATTCCGGAATTCACGTTTTGCCAAGGTTTTTAAACCCTTATCAAAACCCCCGGGTGGACCCAGTCCGACCCGAATCGAGCTTCAAAACAGCCTTCAGAAAGCTCCCCGGTCTGATCATCAAAAAGGAGGAAGAGAGGAAGAGGAAAGAAGAAAAGGGAGATGGTGGGTGGGTCCAGTGGCGTAGCCAGGATTTCATTCAAGGTGGATCCGACGTGAAAATAAAAATATATATGATAAATATAATTAATATTTACATGACCCACGATGTGTTTTTATAGTTTGTTGACCGATTTTCGTTTGAGGATGGAGAAATTTACCCTAAATTATAAATTAAAAAACTAAGAACAAACCATTAGAGATGTAGTTTTATGTAAAAATCTAGAGTTAATTACATAATATGTAAGGTTAATATGTGCTATAAAGTTCTCTACAATATGTTAGTAGAAAAGTAGTGAACATGAGGGGTTTGATTTTAACATTAGGGGTTTCGTACAAATACTGTTATTTTGTGTCTTAGGGGTCGTTTTAAAGTTGCGATTGTTACGTGAGATTGTTACTTGTATTGTGAGATTGGATTTCGTATAAATACATATATTTAACAATCGCAACTTCCAAACAAGCACTTAATCTCGAGCCAGACCCACCCTCTTCCAAGCTAGCTCCACCACTGGGTGGGTCATGGTCTCATGGATGTTAGATAGATTTATTTTGTGAAAAATTAGTTTTTAATAGATATATGTAAGATAAATTTTATTGCAGTTAATATCTTAAATTACTACCTTATTTGTATATATATATTTAGAAAACGTCTAAAATACCTCAAAACGCCGGACCCCTATAAGACCATTAAACCTCAAATCCCTTACTTGACCGGCTCAATGACTTAAACCGGTTTGACAACCTTGCGTTTTGCTACATTTACAAGCTCGTTGTTCTCCCTTGTAGACTGTAGTCATTTCATTCACCATAGTTTCCACTGATTTTACATTTCGAAATTCTTCATGTTCCGAGCTGTTTTGCTTTAAATTTTTATCATCAGATCAACATAATATGTCAATAGACTTGAAATGCATCAATAAATAAGAACGAAAAATGGTGTGTTCTAATATACGTACTGGATTAAGAGAGATGATAAAAAACATAGATCTATATTAACACCATTGTTTTTATGTCTATTACCGTAACAAGCACGATTGAATGAGAGTTGAGACATTGACATGTTCATCGAGGCGTTTCTAATTTTTTTTTTTTTTTTTTTGACAAAAGATAATCATATATTGATATTAAGAAAGGTAGCTTTACATCCTGGAATTCAGCCAGGCCTGAAAATTATAATAACGACAAGTAGACGGGTACAAAGTAAGGGCCTTTCTAGCCACCATATGGGCTACCCTATTGTTCCTCCGACCTACAAACCGCACACTAAACCCAGTATTCTGCATCAAACAATCCCGGACCTCCTCTAAAATCATCCCAATCCTACTATCTCTGGTGTCAGCTCGATTGATTTTCTCGACGATAACCTTGGCATCCCCTTCAAACCTCACCTCCTGAAGACCATTGGCTACACACCACAAAATAGCTTCACGTAGGACAAGCGCTTCCACCACCAACGGATCATCAATAGACGCAAATTGAATCCCCTTAGCCCGAAGGATTACACGCTGAGGATCCAAGAGCACCATACCACCCGCAGAGTGGGACCCAGCCCTAGTGGCTCCATCCCACATACAAACCATCGAGGGGCCCCACTCCAAGCCCGGTGAAGGGGGGACAGAGCGTAGACCCTGCCCCACCCTATCAGAAGACACTCGTTCCCACTCAGCACATTGTTGTTGAATTTGGCGCATCAAGGCAGGGAAGCCAACCTGCTTACCTTCAAAGACAACCCAATTTCTCGATTTCCAGATTCGCCACAAAACCGCCACCACCATCATGATAATAGGAGGTTGGTGGATCAAAGCGAATAGCCGTTTAAGGAACAAAGGAAAGGTATGGCGAGGAAGGGCCTGACCCAAATGCTCAAGGCCAGAGAAGTCCCATAAAGCCCGAGCCACCGGACACTCCAAGAACAAATGCTCCATGGTTTCCGAGTGCTTACGTTTGTCTTTACTTCTGACATAATAAGTAGATTACCATAACCTCAAAAATTGTAATTGTTCTTGTGGTTTACAATTTACTCTGTATAGATAGCCTGAAACCATGTGATATAGCATGAGGATACGGAATTTCCAGGAGAATCTGTTGGGGGTGTTACTAAGGGACGGGGCGCACAGACTAAGCAGTAGGGCGCATAATCGGCGATGCCCAACGCTCGATACCCGCTACAGGTATATAAGGGCTGGAAGCCCTCCAAAGAGGGGGACTTCTTCCCTCTCTGCCCACTTTCCACTTTCCATTATCTCTCTACACTTCATCTCTCTACCTTATTCTCTCAACTATCTCTACAAACCAACACTAACTTGACCGTCGGAGCTTAATCCGGGGGGCAACCCCGGCTCTTTCACAGGTTCACTCCCTCCCGACGAGATCAGACGAACGGATGACGAGTCAACCCACACCAAAAATATCATTGTTCGTGTCCTGAGCTAGTTGGGTCAAACAATTGGCGCCCACCGTGGGGCTGATTTCAACATCTGTTCGTTTGATTTCTGAGGGATGCGAGGCTGAAGAAAGGATTTGGTCAACATATTATCCCTGAAACCTCCAACTCTGGCGTCCAAAAGAAGGGAGAATAAAAAAAAAAAAAACAGATCTGGGATTGAGGAGGAGACGGCTAGCTAACTTTCAGAAGCAATCTTGGCCTCTTCACTGAATGGAGCCATCCCCAGAAATGGAAGATCCTCAGGGACACAGCCAACCGGAACCTCCAACGTCTCCCACATCGCATTCCCAATCTCAGTGCACATCCACCACCTGCGCCAAGTGCGGCGGCCCGACTAGCTTCCCTCCGCCGCCTCAAGGGTCCTGGTCCGAAGTGTCCCCTCCGCCAGTCTACCGCCCGATTCGAGCTCCGGCGATCAACCTTCCTCCGGCGAACCAGTCCCAAGCTATAATGCTCGCTCCCGTTCCTCAACGCCGAAGCGTCCCCGTCGTTTCCCCCCCTTACGAATTCCAGCCCCCTTTGAGGAAAATCCAGTCCCCGGACGACATCCGGCGCTTCCATGACTCTGAATCGGGGAAGAACTTTATCGGTTTCGTCGTTGCTCTCTCTGAAGCCATCCCCAGTCGCTGTCACGGCTTGCTTCTCAAATGTTAGACTGCTTTTCCATAGTGGGTGGCCTTGCAGTCGAGGAAGACGAAAAGACAGGACAAGTCTCTCTCTGTCAGAAGGGAGGAGGACTTCCCAAGACAAGATGTTGCAAGTTGGTACCAGCCTAGCACCGGCCCGGACCCACACCAAAGCCTGCTCCGCCTCCTGACTCGCGGCCGACTTCAAATCGGAACAAGGCCCAATGCGCGCCTCTCAACTGGGGTCTTCAAAAAATTGTTGTCGCCGCGAAGGCTCGAACCCACGCCATTCCTCAACCAGGCGGGCATGTTGACCGGCGGACTATAGCGCGCTGTTGGTACTAAATCGCAGCGCGCCGTATCTATTCACTCTGACTCGCCTCAACAGCACCTCAAGACAAGCGGATCCAAGTCCGCCCCGTCCAAGAAGCCCAAGTCGCGGCCCGCTCTGGCAGATTCAAGTCCGCTAATCACCGGCCCGCGTAATGCTCCTCCGCGCCCCAGGTCCCACACACGCTACATGTGCTCACGCCCGGGCGCAGGGCCCACACAACTCGCGTCCCCAAGCTCCGCCTCGCTTCAAAAAATTTATTGTCGCCACAGGGATTCGAACCCGCGCCACACTTCCACAAGACGAGTAGCCTTACCAGCAGTCTACAAGCGCACCTTGTGTTTCAATGGCGCAGGGCCAAGTTAAAAATCTTCTGCATCCAGCCCGCAAGAAGCCAACCGGCCCAACTCGCGTCTCGCGACTCTCGCCCAAGCAAAAACCCAAACGCGCGGCCCAGCTCCAGCGCCTCAGCCCACGTGCTACATCGGGCCCGCTCCAATTCAAGGCCTGCCACCGCGTAACTCTGCTTCTCGCCCCACTTCAATAATGTAGTCGTCGCCAGACTTCGAACCCGCGCCACTCCTCCGACAGGTAAGCATCCTTACCAGCAGGCCACAAGTACCTTGTGTTTCAACGGTGTGGCGCCTGAATTTTAACATTCGCGCAATAAACAAAAGGACATGGTTCGAAAGAACAAAACTTAGCAATAGTCCAGCACTATTCGCGCCTAGTTCGAAAGAACAAAAATTAGCAATAGTCCAGCACTATTCGCGCAAAAGGACATGGTTCGAAAGAACAAAAATTAGCAATAGTCCAGCACTATTCGCGCAAAAGGACATGGTTCGAAAGAACAAAAATTAGCAATAGTCCAGCACTATTCGCGCAAAAGGACATGGTTCGAAAGAACAAAAATTAGCAATAGTCCAGCACTATTCGCGCAAAAGGGCATGGTTCGAAAGAACAAAACATTAGCAATAGTCCAGCACTATTCGCGCCCAGTTCGAAAGAACAACTTGCAGGCTACCACTCAGGTTCTGTTTCAATGGCGCAGCGCCTGCCTTTCAACTACTCCTGCCGCCACTGCCAATATAAAGCTAAGTACTCTATCCCTCCATCATTATTAAATTTTCAAAATATTTTACTATCCTAAGCGTTAATGGCGCTAATGGGGGGCAAGACGCAAGAAGCTGGCACCGCGTCACTCAAACGCGCCACCAGCTGGGGGGCAACTGGGGTACATAGGCCCCACCCAAAATTACCGACAAAGATTTAAAAAAATAAAATATAAGCTAGTGATGAGTTAAAACTCACCACCAGCTTGGGGGGCAATTGTTGGGGGTGTTACTAAGGGACGGGGCGCACAGACTAAGCAGTAGGGCGCATAATCGGCGATGCCCAACGCTCGATACCCGCTACAGGTATATAAGGGCTGGAAGCCCTCCAAAGAGGGGGACTTCTTCCCTCTCTGCCCACTTTCCACTTTCCATTATCTCTCTACACTTCATCTCTCTACCTTATTCTCTCAACTATCTCTACAAACCAACACTAACTTGACCGTCGGAGCTTAATCCGGGGGGCAACCCCGGCTCTTTCACAGGTTCACTCCCTCCCGACGAGATCAGACGAACGGATGACGAGTCAACCCACACCAAAAATATCATTGTTCGTGTCCTGAGCTAGTTGGGTCAAACAGAATCATATTTCGAAATCTCCACAATTAGAGAGTAAATAATGCAAGCAATGAAAAGAAAATCAATCTGCCAACAAAATGAACTACTTCATCCCTCTGTTTAGACAAGTACTGGATTCCGGCCTCGTGAAATAAACACCGATGATGCGTAAAAACGCTACCCTCAGCTCGTAAAGGATCAACAAATCGAGTAGATTGATTCTCTTCAACTCCCTCTGACAAGCTTCTTTACAATCTGCTTCCTTAGTTTTTGTATCGACATTCTGAACAAAAGGGTGAGAAAACTGACTAATCGCTGAGTCTATAGGATCTTCCCCTGAAGGCTGATCCTGTGCCCGGCTGCTGCTCGGGCTGAGCTGCCGCTCGGGAGTTCACTGGTGCTGGAGCTCCTATTTTGTATCTTCTCACCAGCTTCTGTCTATAAACAGCTTAGGAAAAGGCTGTAGCAGGTCGCAGTCTATGTGAATGATTCAAAGACTTGAGATTAGTTATTAGAAAGATGATACGAACTAAGGAAGAAATCAATGTAAAAGGATACACCCATCTTGGGGTCTTCAGATAGGTTTTCCCAGTTGAGAGTGGGTGCAACACCGTCAGGAAGTAGTAGAAATGACCAGCGATGATTCCCAGAAGATCGGGCAAAATTGGAGACCCGAAAATAACATCCAGGGCAAGCATGGTCCAGGGTAGATAAAATGCCTGAGAGGGAGAAGAAAAAAAAAAACAGAACTTCGATCATTAGCATATAAAACACAAGACTTTCTCATTTCTACCAACTGAAATATCAGAGCATCAAAGATACAAAAATAATTGCAGCCTTACAACATGAGAGCACAAAGTTGGCAATACCTTAATATTCAGCAGGCCATATATGTTGATTTGAGCATTTGGGAACTCTCTACTCCAGACATAAAGCAGCATGAACACAAGTGAAATGCCCAAGAAAGGGTTCCACAGAAAAGGGATGGCAGACAGACCCTGTGGTGCAGGGAAATGCTCGTTATCCAGATACGATGGTTAACAAAGCCATGATTCATTAATGAAAACAGTTAATAACCACATTAATAACCCACAACGGCAACACATCAATAGGGAGACCTACAGTCTAGTGGTAGAAGCCGCGAGCTAAATAGAAGTTCACAACACTGGCAACACCAAGTAAAAGTCTGGTAAAGAGGCGCATTTCCAGACATCAATAGCACAGGAGTTAACAGTCATTGTTTCTCACCTAAAAGTCTAAAACAGAACAAAGAAAGAGAGGACCTAATTACATACCAGAAGAGTCAGGCCTCCGAAGATCATCATCCAGAGAAAATCAGAGGTACGCCTGTCGAATGTTGCCTGCTCCAATTGAACACCATACCTTGCTCTGCAAAACATCTAGAATACATCAGAGCTAGGAAAAGTATACAGCCAACCCGAATAACTCGGTTAACAGAATTAAGTCAATAACGACAGGAGAGCAACATCACATATCAAAGCAAATTACCCATGAACGTTATAAAAGATTCTGCAACATTCTTTCAGAACGATTACTCACATCATCAAGAGGCGAATACCGAAATTGATGGAGAAATTCCCAAGAAAGAAGAAACTAGTAAAAAGCCTCCACACCTGGAAGAAAGATATACAGACAACCGCAATCAGTTGGGAGTCCTACAGCAAATCTTCCATTGAAATGGAGACGTTGAACAATACCTGAAATCGGTAGAACACGTCTTCATATATCAATGCTATATAGGCCGGATGAAGCAGCTTGAGCGAACAGACTGAAGTAACCGCCAGGCACACGGTGCCATAAGCCTTGGTTATAGGTGGAAGTGATTGGTAGTACCTGTAACCTCAAAGAAAGCCATGCGTGAGTTACAAAGCCCGGCTTGATCAGGCACGGAAATGGAAACCCCTACGCCTAAGCTTTCTATACCAAACTAATTCTACTTTCTGAAATCTTCCATCAGACATGACTCCCGGACGAAATTCACTTCCGAAATTAGGTCAAGCCATCATCACATTCAACAGAGTAATTTCTCAACGAAATCGGAAACAAACAGATTCAAGCAAAGCGAAAGGGAATCAGTCGGAGAAAAACGAACAGGACGAACGAATGAAACAAGAAGCTTACTCGCCCGGGGACGACATCGGGCGGCGGCGACGGATGAGGATCTATCAGACGGAACTCCGAAGAGCGATGGGCAACGGCGTTACGGATCCAAATTGGAAATAGCGATTCTTCTGCAAGCGGTAACGGGAACTTGGAAGCTTGAGGGCGAAGGTAATCTCTTCTCAGACCTTCACTAGTTAGCCTTTCTTTCGATTCCTATGTTCTACTGCTGATGCGAGAACGATATGGAAGATTCCATGGCGGTTTCCGTGGAGTTACTTGCGTACATCCTTTGTCTGTCCTGGCTGCGGTCGTTCCGATTGGGCTTCGAGAACTTGGGGCTGATGGTGAAGATTGGGCATCAAAGGCTTTGGGCCCATAATTGATCGGAGGGAGGAAAATGAATCACTTGGTCTCGTCGTCACATTAGAGGCTCTGTAGCCTATGTACATTTTGGCCCAGTACTGAATTGGGATAAAATGAGTGCTGAAAGGCAAGGGCCCAGGGCTCGATATCTTTTTTTTTTTTTTTGTGGTATTTGACTTGTCTATAAAATAATGTGGTTACAACTTACTATCTCCTAGGACTGTGAATGAGTCAAACTGCTCACGAGCAAGGCTCAGTGATCGGTTTGAAAAAAGTTAGTTCGACACTCGACTTGGTATTAACAAGCCAAATTTGAGCCAACCCTTGTTTGGCTCATAAGACTCGTAAGCCAGCTCGACTAGGTGACTTGTTGAGCTCAACTCATGAGCTAGCGCGATTTGAGCTATGGGATGGCTCGACAATATGGCTAGCGAGTCACCTCAACTTGCAACTTATGAGCGAATCGATCAACGGTTTATCATTGGTTTGTTGATAATTCATAGGTTGTTACATTATGTATCTCACCATTCTACGAATTTGAGCACGTGTTTAAATATGTCTAATTTATTATAATTTAAAATAGAAGTCATGTATAATAAATTGCTCATATATTAATTGTTATTAAATAACATGATATGAACAATTAATAATTGTGAACTAAGTGATATGATATCTGAGGTAGAGCTCGAATCAAACACAAATCAAGGTTTTCGTAAACAAGCCAAATTCGAACTCGACTCATTTATTAATGAGTCGGATGAAAACTTGGTAAAAACTCGACTCGATTCGTTTACGATGACCCTCATTTGAATCATTTCTCCATTAATTTTGGTCCTTTCAATATCTCTCTTCATTATTTGAGCCGCTCAATTTTGCATATAAAGAATTTTAGATGGTTGCATATATTTCCTGCTAATATATATGAGAATTGAATTGAATTGAACCAATTAACCTATGTCCAACATTAATACCGAAGTTGACCCGCCGTTCAATATGCATAGTTAGTACCTGTCTTCCCCATCATTCCTGAGTCCTGACTCCTAATTTCATGAGAGCAACTGGGAGTACTCGAATCAAATCAAGTCCTCAAGATTTTTATTCCTTCTCTCAACAGCCTCTTTAAATCATGAACCAGTCGTCCAAACTAAGAAACCTAATCTAATTAATTCTTCCTCGTTTCAAACTTAAATAAACAAACAAATATAGCCATTAACTGCTCCAATCTTGGCTACTCACTGCAAGTAGTAATCGGTATGCATATTATATTACATGTCACCTGGGTTGCAAGTGAGTTGAGTAGTTCACGAACTGCTCGATATTTGATTCAGTAAATCTCGTTATAAACTCGACTCGTTTACTAACGAGTTGAGTTTGAACTAAGTCTTATTCAGCTGGCGAGTCTCGCAAGTCACTTCGATTCAGGGGCTTGTTGATCTCAACTTGTCAGTTTTTTTTATTACTCATGATATGTCTCAACATTGTGGCTAGCTAGTGAGGCAACTTGACTACCTACTTATGAGCGAATCGATCTATATCGTATGAGCTGACTTGTTGATAATTCGTAGGTTTGTTAAATTCTATTTCTCTTCCTACATGATATTTAAGACATTGAGTACGTGAGTGCATCGCACGCCTTATTAAAATTTAAAAGAGAAATTATGTACCATAGATTTCATAAGATACTAATTACTATACGAAATGACATGATATGAACTTAACAGTACGCTACCGATAGTGCATTGATAGGGCAAAAGCGTATGCCTTAATCCTATCTCGTAGTAAAACCGGAAAGTCCGGGTATCGTCTCTCAGGGACTGGTACAACCTTAAGTTCTATCAATTTTATGAGCAAACTATAAGTGAAAATAGTTTAATGAGACTAATTTCTAAAAGCAAAATAAACTAAACAAATTAACTAAATGAAAACTGTCGGGAGAAATTCAATGGAGAAAGCTCTGGGAGAAACACCGGGATTCACTACCTGTCCTATCCAGATTAATTCACATATTCTAATCAATTTAATCCAACTCTCTACAGCCAGGATATCACGAATGTGCTAGCTATCCCTGTCGGGCATTACTACGTACTAAATAATCAATTCAAATCCTACTGTCGTAGCTCAATTAATTAACTATTTAGCCTGAAGACCGATATCCCAATTAAGACCACATAGTACCTTATTTAATCCACTGTCGCTTCGATAAGTTACTATGTCACATGAAATAGGTTCAGTTATTAGGGTTTCACTGTCGCTAATAACCTAATTAACTACGATTCATTGTATTGGTGGCCAGTCAACACAAAGCATTAAGGAATTTCATGCAATAGAGATTGGAAGAAAAGAATCATGAATCAATCCATCAAATCAAGAACTAGCTACATCCTATGGTGTTTCCCCCAGAAATTGGGGTTTAGTTCATATGATAAAATTAAGATAAAACAATAGGGTTTTGTTCATCATGTTCTAAATCAACAATACACAACTAGTTCGGTTCAGAAAATCCAACCAACTAATCGCTCTCGTTGAACTCAGCTCAAGCCGCCTGAAAAACTGATCGATAATTGCCCTGCGCTCGCGTCCCAAGCTTCCGCTGCCCTCTGCTTCTTTTTCCAAGAATAATTCGCCCGAGACCTCTCTCCTCAGCTCATTCCCTTTTCCTTTCAATTCCGTCTCCTTCCCCCCAGAAGCTTCCGTCCACTTCTTTCCTTCCAAAAGCCAATTCCGTCCAACAACCCTGGCCCAAAACACTTCCGTCCAAAACTCTTCCCATCTAAAAAAACGTCCCAAGCCTTCCCAGACTCAGCAATTGATTCCGTGTGCAATTAATTGGGTCCCCATGGAAGCTCGGCCCACTTTTCCTCCAGCCGGATCAAGTTTTTAATTTCATCCAAATTCCATCTTCCAACCAAAAGCCCGCTAGTATCCTGCTTTCTTTGTACTTTGTTTGGACCAGGCCCAATTGTTATTCCATCAGTGATTCCACTCGATTGTTGCCTATGCAATTTTCTCCTTTTTCGTGTTTTCTTCACCTGTAATACATCAAACTCATGGCACTAGGCAGTAATGGTTTTTCAACCATTCTCGGGTTAGGGAGCCCTAAAATAACACCAATCGACTTAAACATATCATGGATAATCACATAAAGTCCAAAAATTCAATATGTTAAAGCCGATTATCATGCATATAAACGTGAGATCAATTAATGACGAAAATATACTATTATTATTTTCTTCATCATGACATCAATCACATGTATTATACATGAAATACAAATATCTATGACAAATATATATATATATATATATATATATATATATATATATATATATATATATATCAAGGTTAAGGGATCAACTGTTTGCGATAAATTAGTTGAACTCGAGCCGAACTCGTGATCTTATTGATGATGAGTCAGACTTAAGTAAACCTCGCAAAGTTCATTAATTAGATGAGTTAGAGAAAAACAAGAGCCAAAATTTTAGTAAACAAGACAACGACGAACTCGACTCGTTTATTAACGCAAAGAGCTTGAACTAAACAAAACTCGGCTCGTTTGCAGCCCTGCCAATCCACCGATTTGGGTTGTCGCAGGGCCCACCTAAGTCGATGAGAGCAATCCATGATGAAGACACATACCACCAGCTTCAGCTTGGCAGAATGTATGGCCGCTAATTGCACAACCTCTGTATTCATCAACCCTCGCCGTTGCCCGTTAGCTCTGATGCCGTCCTTCTGGCAAAAATCCGGCGCCGTCGAGCCACAGCTGTACTTGAACTGGCGGAGATTTTGGGGTAGCTGTATTTTATTATGTATTAATTAGGGACTCACAATGTGGATTAGCGGACAAGTTTTCCTTTCCTCCCAGGATCGGGCATGTGATTCTCTATTTCTGGCGCATGATATCTTTGTCTTCGGCTTTTTCTGCTGCCCGCAGTCCCACTTTGATTAATTTTCGTTGTTGGGTTGTCATTACAGCAAACAATTTTCCCTGATGAATTTGATCAACTGTACTGTCGTGTGTGTTACTTGGCAAATTGCAGGATCTTGATCCAATCAGACAATATATACATACATACAGGCTAATGATTCCACACTAGTATCATAAACTCATAATTAAACCTCTAGGTCCGTGATAATAATGTACGACTTACTTATCGCGATATCGAAATCGTAGACTTTGGGGATTTGAACCATGGCAGCTAGAGAGACGGGGAAATAAAGCATTACCAACTACTTAACTCTCAAATGCAGAACACAATTCTCGTATATTTCTAATCATATGTAGGAGTTTCACAACGTAGATACGCCACTATGTTGAATGCATGCTATCATATCTAATGGCGAACCTTGAAAAGAGAGTTCTACGTATACTAAGTTGTTGGTTGCGCGGGATGCCTAGTTAACCATATTTTGTTGGTGATGAGCAACGAGATGGATGATGCTTTTGGTTGATGTGAATTAACGGTTGTGTCATATATATGTTAGCTTGCGACGACTCCGATTGTGATGTTTGTTGAACGTGCGGTGCTTTATGACAATTTGGCATAGCGATCTCCACTCGAAAAAAGGAGGGAGTAGAGTTTCATTTAGATATTCTCTCGCGGGCTATCAATCTGAGTGCCTAAAAGTAATGTTATAATTCAATCGATATAATTAGAGGTTTGGGTTCTATGAAATTTGCTTGTGTATCTAATTTTGTCACTCTGATATCCATGAGAGGTAAGAAGATTGAACACAAAGTGATGTCAGGTTGTGATGAGCATGAAGTCATTCACAAAACTATTGAGAAAAATTAATTAAAATTAATAATCTTGTAATATGATTTTGCAGCTGTCAAGAGATATTCATGCATGTGTTAATGTTTCATTATTTTTACCGTAAAAAAAAATGTTTCATTATTTCAGACTAAGCAATAATTATTGTCACATCACTATCATCAGTAAGCTTTTGGAGGGTTTAGGGGCAGCAAGTAATTATTCATGCAAAAAAAAAAATGTTCTTCGAT